TACATATATATATATATCATATATATATATATATATCATATATATATATCATATATATATATATCATATATATATATCATATATATATATACATGTATTGAGGGGTATACTGTAATCTTTGAATAGTTATGAAAACCAGCTAGAATTAATAGCTATCCATCGCTTTCCCAGGAGCTGGGCGCGGATGTTTTGGCGAAAGTCGAACGGGCGCGGGGACACGGGGAGGGTCGGGAAGATATGGAAAAAAAGTGGATTTTCACCCGCCAAAAACTGGGGAAACTTGGGATTCAACCTGCCAAAACCTGGGATTTCACCAGCAAAGAATTGGGAAAATGGAATTTCATCCAGCAAACATGGGGAACATGGGGGATATTAGCAGTAAAACTTGAAATTTGACCAAGAAAAACTGAGGATTTATATAAGCGTATTGAAGCAACCCAAATTAGAACGTATATAGGCCATATTTCGCCCAGGGGATGCCAAAACAGGGTCAGATCTGCAGGTTTGCTGCGGCATGCTGGGAAGGGAATACACCGAGGCCAATCAGGCACCCGTTTTGCATCGTTTTTGGATGTTGGATGAGTGGTGCAGCAGCTGTGTACCCTGGTTGTAGTAAATCAGTAAATCGTTCGGGGATTTACCCTCTGGTAATTTAACATAGCTATTGAAAATGGCCGTTTATAATGGATTTTCCCATTAAAAATTGTCATTTTCAATAGTTATGTTAGTTTACCAGAGGCCATTATGGAAATCCCTATGAAACAACCAATTGGTGATGATGCACATAAATGAACACTGCTGCGAGGTGTTTAGGAGGTTTCCCATTAGATCTCAATGAAGTGTTTGTTGCACAGTGCACAGTGGGGTACCACTCAGGGTTGCTGGCAGGTTGCAAAGTGTTTCCATCATTGTTCAAGACGTTTTCGTAATTTGATGTAATTTGAATTAATTTGAATTATTACAGACGTGGGGTCAAAAAAACGATCTTACATAGTGTTTTGCTGTACAGGAAGTCTCCTCGTTCCGGCATCGACGCTTGGTGGGCCAGAACAGAAGATAGCACAAGGGCCTGGAATAATGAGAGGTGGGATTTTTTCCTAGAGATGAAATTGAAAGTTACATCATTCAGAATAGAAATAAAATAAATCATCCAAAGATGCTTTATTTTGTCTCAAACCTTCCAAAACAGACTTGGTATCGACTTTAGCAGTGCAAAAAATACATCAATGAGGGGAAACTCAGCTGTTTCCAGAAAGTTTTTCCTAGAGCTGCCACAGTGTTACGCCATGGAGAACAGCTTCAGACGAGAACGCCATGGGTAGCCGCTCTTCTGCAGTAATGACCCATAAAAATGGGGTGACAGAATGCACCAAAAAGATCAGAAAGGATTGTATGGATAGTATCCTGGTACAATAATGGCTTAGCCCAATGGAACTGGATATTAGTTCTAGTAAGTACATGTGCCCTGGTGAATAGTAGATAATAGTAGGATTGTATACCCATATTGGGTGATGGTTCTCAATTCATAGTGTTGTCAACCCCTAGCTGGCCCCCCCCACATAGATGTCTTAGGGCCCCGAATGGGTCCCAAAATTAGGGGCCCACTAAATGAACTGCAAGCTATTCTGGCTTCATTTGGTGGGCCCCTAATTTTGGGACCCTACCCACTAGAAGGATACCCTAGGGTAAGAAAATTCCAGATTTCAGACCCCTAAACCCAAACTGAATAAAAGGATATTTGTCTCCTTAATATGGTAGACCTTTACACTGAGGCAAGTTCCACATTTTGGCAGGGTGAAACTTCTAGGCACTGAAGAAGAGGGCACTATACTAGACATCTTGATTTGGGCTGTAAAGCATCGGGGCCCAGGACCAATCAACCCCAACAATTCCACAAAAACAGCAAAATAAGGGCCCATCACAGGGGCCCAAGCTATAACCTGTAGAAGAGGGATTTAGATCAAGCCATTTTTTTTTTGATTCCCATGGGACTCAGGACTCAGGACATCTCAGGACTCATGGGACGGTTGACCATAAACCATAACCATATATACCCTCTGGTAATTTAACATAGCTATGGAAAATCACCATTTTTAATGGGAAAATCCACTATTAATGGCCATTTTCAATAGCTATGTTAAATTACCAGAGGGTATATATATATCCATATACCATATCAGGTTGGTTGTGAGCTAATGATAATGTTGCCCCGTTATATAGTAGTTCAATTAATTCCAATTATATGTTCAGTATGGTTACGGTTAAACACCATAATATCATCTCTCCAATGAAGTCGCTATCAAATAATGTGAAATAATATCAAATGATATCCCATTGATATATCGAATCAAGCTGATGATTAATATTATCCCCTTTCTTGATTCACATCGATTAGCCAATGTTGCTTGACATGTCCAGATCTAAGAAAGACATGTTGGTTCTTCCATGTATCTAATATATAACATTATATAACTAATTACCTATGTTTCCCTAATAGATTAATATATATATATATCATATATCATATATATATATCCCTCTGGTTATTTAACATAGCCATGGTATAGATGGCCCTAATCGAAATAGATGCTTTACCGTTCTGAAAATAGCATGGTGGATCTTTCCAGTTCGCGAACTGTTAGTTAGTCATAACCAGATGGTAATATGATATCTCTCTTACCCTCTGGTAATTTAACATAGCTATAGAAAATCACAATTTTTAATGGGACAATCCACTATTTCTATGGCCATTTTCAATAGCAAACTGCTAGTTTACCAGAGGGTAAGATACCCATCCCTCCAGGATTTCGCCAGATGTTTCGCCAGCCCACTGAGGCGCCAGGATTTTTGGCCCCACCTTTTTAGGGTCAGCGAGACTCGTGGCTTGACCCCTGGTTACCACCGATGTTTCAGGATGCCTAACGTGTGTTTAACGAAATGGGGTACCCTCTGGTTATTTAACATAGCCATGGAAAATGTTCTTATAAATGGAGGTATGAATGGGAAAATCATCTATTTCGATTAGGGCCATCTATACCATGGCTATGGTAAATAACCAGAGGGTAAACTTTAATGGGGTTAAGTGTTAAACTTCTGGTTAAATGGATCTGATCAACTTGTGGGTAAATGTATGTAAAGGTCCAAATGTCCAAATTGAAGATCTAGGTCCACGAAAATAGCACACAATCATGGTCTCCGGTTTGGAAATGGATTGTATTGTTGTAAGACAAAACGGTGGTCTGCTGGTTGGTGGTTTCAAACATTTTTTATTTTCCATAATATATGGGATAATCGTTCCCATTGACTAATATTTTTCACAGGGGTAGGTCAACCACCAACCAGTGTAATTTTGAGGGGTGTACTCAGCAACATGCGACTGTCAGTCGAAACTACCTCCACCGGCCGGACCCAAATCGTCCAGGCACTAGCTCCATTTACTCCTCAAAACTAAGCCAGTCAATTGTAAGAATGGAGGATTTATATATATATACATATACATATATTACATTATATTAGTATATCTATCTATATCTTATTATATCTTATATACAACGAAATACATGTTCAAAGGAAAGATGCCACAGTGACATGGCCGAACGGACCATGAGACCATGAGCCTTCAGGATCACTCTCGTTGGGTTTGGGGACTCATCACCCATGATTAAAGTATCCAACCATCCAATATTTGGGACATGGTTAATGATGATGGTTAATAGTGGTTTTCATAGGCTATAAACCAACAACAATGGGAATATTATGGTTATATACTGGTTGGTGGTTTGGAACATTTGGATTATGACTTTCCATATATTGGGAATGATAATCCCGACTGACTTTCATATTTTTCAGAGAGATAGGTATACCACCAACCAGTCATGTATGTTCAGGTTTTCAATGTGAATACCGAATTTGGCGCTTGATGACAGTAATGAAGAATTTCGCATCGACGAAGAGTTGACTAACATGTTGGAGCAATGGTGATTGACAATGTTTGAGGTGTAGATTTTGAAAGGGTGATGAATGAAACACACATTTGTTATTGAGGATTAGATTCGGACATGTTTATGAAAAGAAACCATCATGAAATAAATAGTGAACATGTGTTTGAGAATAGCATGATGGGCATTGGACACACAATGCACAGCCAGACGGACAGGCACGAACGAAGCACCTTGAAAATCTCTGCCTTCACGATATTCACGATGCTTTCGGAAGTGACATTCCGGCAATTTTGAATCACTGAGTCACTGAGTCACTAAAATTATGTTTGGTGTTTTCAAGAAATTTTGAAGGCATCAAATCCTCTCTGAAATTCACCCACCGCAATTCCACTTAAACTGGGATTAAAAGAAAGCAGCTAATCTCTTGTTTCTCTCTGTCATCTCTAACCTCAAATGATCTCTAAAGTCTCTAAAGGATTATTCTTGGAAATTATAATTGAATATACTTGAAATATCTTGAAATACTCTTTAAAATGATTAAAGATCGCTGATAGACCTATCTCCATCTCTGTCGGTGAGCCTCTGCGGTGCCGTGGTCAGTGCACACGCAGAGCAAGTGATTTGAATCAGAACAAAAGGGCGTAAAACATCATGAAACTATCCATAAAGCATCATGAAACATCATGAAACTATCCATGACTATCCATAACTCAATGAAAAGGGCATCCGTTGAATGACATTTGGGACACGCGTGAAGACCTCATCCTCAGCCATAAAGAACATCGGCTCAAGCCACGCAGAACAAGAGATGGCACTGTGGGAATTTATAAGTTTGCCGTGGTAATATAATGTACAATATATATATACACATTATATATATATATCATATTTATGCATATAGGTAAATGATTGAACTAGATGAGCAATTGTCCATAGCTTTGTTAGTTTGCCAGAGGGTCAATGATAGACTGCAAGTCTCCCCAAACCCTTCAAAAACCAGCGCGAACTTGGTATCGTCCGTTTCCACAGGTTCCCACGGCAGCGGTTAGTTGCGAAGCCATGGAGAATAGCTATTGGCTATCGGACTACGTCTTGGGTGGCCTGGTGGCGCGGTCATGACCCATAGAATTGAGCTTTTTGACCAGCCAAAAAGTCGGGAAAAAAAAAGAGAGAAAAACTGGTTTTTGCCAACAAGAGGGGCATGCTTTACGACAATGAAGAGTTAACCTCCTTGGGACCCCATCAGCAACGCATTCGACCTCTCGTTGGCTGCCATTGCTGGCCCAAGGCCCATCCAAGCCCAAAAGAACAGCGGATTTGCATCCAACCAGTGACACAACATGAAAACAGATAAAAGTGTTGGAAATTCTTCGGGCAATAGTTGAAGAATAGTTGAAGAGACAATGTCATTTGAGTTGACCAATAGTTGACCAATAGTGGACCAATAGTTGACCAATAGTTGCAAATGTCAATGGTTATTTAAGAGGTTTGCCATTTACATAATTTCTGATTCCAACGAGATCACAGCGCCGTCATAGGCCTGTGGTCAGGATCATGAAACAGCGCGTTTTTTTGTGTCCCCAAGATCTTCACAATATGAGTCTGAAGATCATGTTCATTGGGAAGATGATGGTAAATCAAGGATGTGAGGAGTGCAACATTTTCAGACAAACCCATTTACTAGTACCATATATAGATATATTGTGTGTCATTAACATGTATGTATATATATATATACATATCAAATTATTCACACATGTATGACCATAGACTATAGACAATGTGTGTGTGTGTTGATAAGATATTCCCCTAGTATTAAACACCCCTCAGAAACCGTGTTTTTTGTTGGGTATCAAACCACATATTTGGGACCATAGGATGTTTTTTGAAAGATTGACTCGTGGGATGGAATTGGGATTACCCTCTGGTAATTTAACATAGCTATGGAAAATGACCATAGAAATAGTGAGTTTTCCCATGAAAAATGGTGGATCTTTCCATAGTTTGTTGTATGTTTACCAGAGGGTACATGCGTCACTGTAATGATGGGCATACTACGTAGGATAACTATCCCAAACCACCGTGACCCGAGGCATCTTGAAGTCGCCCACATGGCTTGTTCCGAACCTTGGCCTTACGTCGTTCCCTCCGGTGATTTTGTTACACATATATTACATACTGTATAAATTATATGTATATGATATGTGTATATATATATATTATGGATATAAGAGATAGATTGCCCATTTAGTTAGATGGTTTAACATGTGTTTTAATGTGTTTGTTGTTTACATTGTGTTTTTGTCCACTTCGCGAAGTGTTAAATTAACAAAGATTAAAGGGTATACGAAAGCGACGGTTAATGCTACGAAATCATGTTGATCCATGTCTTTGAGGGTACTCGAATGATACAACTTTGGGACCGATCAAGTTGGTTCCGCTCTGGCGGAATTTGGGATGAAAGGCGCCCATACTCTGCATGACATAATGCATTACCTCAATTGACTCCTCCAAACTCGGTCATTTGTATATACAATACATCATCAATATACATACATAGTCATACATAATATTATGCTTCTTATTTATGTGCTCTCTATATATAGTTCAACAACAAAATCTCACAATCATCTGACGTACAGCTCCAGTGGCGACCAACAGGACGATGGACTTCATCGATCAGAAAGCCATTCTGTTTCTTGACCCGGTGGCCTTGGTGGCCTTCAACGGGGTGCCAAAAAAAAGTTTTTTGAAAAAATGGGGGATGGTTTACCAAGAAATAAACAACAGAGATATTGATTGATATTGTGGTAATGTAATAATCCAAGAACGGGAATTAATCCAACTTTGGCTTCACAATTCAAGCAACACAAAAACCAACCATTTGATGGTGGTACTTTGTTGCATGTGATTATGGATATTTTGGGACATAGCCAACAATGGCTGGTATGTAATGGTAGAGTTCGGTTTGTAGAGAGAATTTGGGGGATTACACACAACTCTCAATTTTTTGGTGGTTTACGATACGGTAAGCCATGATATGTTGTAAGCCGAGTCGCTACGCAAGTCTGGTCCTCAAGGTTTGATGATTCCACAGGATCAAAAACTACCCTCTGAATTCAATTGGGATTATTGGGATTGGGGAATCATTGGGGATTATTGGGATTATTGAGGATTATTAGGATTATTGCGGATTATTGGGGATGTTCATATCTTCTAAAATGTGTGTTCTTTAAAGCACCCACACGCACAAAACGACCAGGAGAGCAAGCCCAGCATGGGAATATCCATGAGCGAAGAATGTCATTGTGGGGAATGCCCATGAATTTCCCATGAAACGCCCAACTCTTTTGGAGTCGAGGTTTGGAGGTAGGTTTCACATCCGGTGCCCATGATTGTTGATGCCCACCATGCCCACCATTGTTGAGCTGTTGAACAAAAACCATCCAGTTCAGGTGGCTATGGATCAATACCTATACATACCATTTTTAGGGGGATGAACATCCATTTACCAGCTATTTTGATGTTCACCAGGGGTACAAGGTTTTGACACACTGCCATGTCTCAGGTGAAATTCCGATTTTTTCATCGCTGTTGATGGGTGAACCTTCTGGATTTTGGATCATTTTTCTGGATGCGAATCAGAAGTTTCTGGATGAAATTTCAGACACCCAGCCATTGGATGGTTATATATCTGGTTAATAGTGATGGTTAATAGTGGTTAATAGGGTATAAACCAACAACAATGGGAATATGATGGTTATATACTGGTTGGTGGTTTGGAACATGTTTTTTTCATATATATTGGGAATGTCATTATCCCAACTGACGTGACGAACTCCATCATTTTTCAGAGGGGTAGGTATGCCACCAACCAGATTATTAACCATCATTAACCATATAATAACATATAATAACTATCATCATTAACCATTATTAACATTACATTAACCATCATTATCTATGATTCATAGATTCTATCTTCCCTGGCGATTCCACCGAGCCTATCTGGCAACGAAACCGGAAGAGTTTTCGGTCAGGTTTGATGAGACCGAAGAGTCCACGCACGAACAAATGCAGTGTCACCGAGACTTTCAGGAGAGCTAAATTGGCGGGATGATACTTTGGGAAAGTAATATACTATTTATACTAGTAGGAAAAATGGTAGTGTAGTGAAAAACTGGTAGTATACTATTATACTATATTATACTATCACTTATTATACTATAGGAAAATGCTCGTGGGATAAGTGGGATGATGATCCTATTAGGAATGGAAAATCCTACTTATGAAAAGATTTTATCATGGATGAATTATGGGATAATTTGGGAAATCCTCTTTCATGGCACCCTTTGTGGCTAATTTGTTTGCGACCCGTGACCTCTGACATTTCGCAGAAATCCCCTGAGCTGGCTAGAAAAACCCCCATGGATGATATCTTCAATGATTGGGGGGGGGTTGTCCATTACCATGATAAAAAATGCAAGGTTTGGGCAGTAATTTTCATGATTAATCATGATAATGGTAATGGGTAATTTTCATGATAATGGCAATGGGTAATAGTAATCATTAATTGTCCATTACCATAGTAATTAATGATTAATCCTCTATAAATGATGAATGAACTAAGCGTCTTCTTGGACGATGATTCCCTCCCTGATGGAAGGGATAGTTAACCATGTCTTTGTGCGGGGAATGGCAGGTGCCCAAGTTTTTGTTCAAGCACAAATCATGTCGAGATTGTCCAGGTATCAATACCCATGGTTATCCTATGCAAGCGCATATTACATACAGTACAGTAGTGCATACAACTGTACATATACATATTTATAATGTACATAATGCATTTGCATTTTTTTGCATATCATCATGTATCTATACGTGTATATATTAGTACATATATCATATAGGTGTGTATATATATACATATATATAATAGATGCGTGTATGTGTTATATACACACATACACACATACACACATACACACACATACGTATATTCCCTTTGTACCAACGAGCCCTCGATGTGACCGTGTTTTGTTGGCAGGAGCTGGTGACCAGTTTGTTTCTGGCGCATTTGGCCGAGGCAGCAAACCGACAGCCGGCGAAGTTGCTGCTTCACCCCAGTTGGTTTCAGTAAGTTTATGGGGAATTCAAGCCAGTGGGGGCATTCAACCAGAGCCTCCTTATCCTGAACTCAATAGAGTGAACTAACACAAGTTCCGCGATGTGTCAAAAACACCAGGCGTACCTGATTAGTGCACATCGCCCCAAAAACGAAAGGAACGCTGCGTTCTAAGTGAAAATTCAAGTGACCAGGTATCTGCGAGGTATCTAAGTACTATAATGTGCTAAACCCAATAATGAACAATCCCCAAAATCACCATAAATGGGTTGTATAAACCATCCCTAAATGGGAGGTTTATGACTGGTTTTACATGGTTTTACCACATTAAGTTCAATGAATCTGAATGCCCCGTATTGGAGGAATCTAAGTTTGCACACTTGATGACTTGGTGACAGGTAGGTCACCGGGTTTAGAACACAAATGGTGCATGGATAAGCCCAGTTGAAGGATTTTTTCAAAAACCGGGACCGGAGAATCCCAGCACTGCAGCTGGTAGCGGGTGGTCCCAAGATCGGATGCTGATAGCAAAATTTTGGCCAATGATGGAGGGATTTCTATGCCATTCTAAGGGAATTTCATGATGATAAACCATGATAAACTATGTTAAACCATGATAAGCCATGGGACTGTGTGGCTACATGTCTAGGATTAGGGGCTTGCAAGATTTCTTGTGGCCACTTGAACTTTGGTCCAGTGCGATCTGCCTTGTGACTCGTGACTTTTCGGTTGTTTTTGGCATGCGGCTGATACGGCGCCCTTGGAAGGGTTGTCGATTTTGAGATGTGCCATTTACGATCCCGTGGAAGGGTTGCAAATTTCAAAAATGAGGTTTTCCGAAATGGGGGTATAGGATTTGAAATTTTCGATTTTTTAACGTGTTGCACATGGAAGAGGCACAGGTTGCATATGTTGTCGTATGATCGTCAGGGGGGGGTGGGGGGGGATGTTAACGTTCGTGTCGAGCGCTTCCCTCACGGTACGGAAGAGGCACATGTTGCATTTGTTGTCGTATGATCGTCAGGGGGGGGTGGGGGGGGATGTTAACGTTCGTATCGAGCACTTCCTTTACGTTACAGAAGAGGTTGCCGTTGCTGACATCTTGCATTGTCTGACGCGCTTTTTGCGGATTTCCTGCGTGAACCTATGTTGGTCGTGGTTGGATTTCCTCTAGAACCATTATTGCTGGAACTCAACAACTTGATGGAACTTGGAAACACTTAAAAAAATGGCGACCTCAATCCATGCTCCACAAAAGAAACAACAGGTGTACCAAAAACGGTACAGTTATGCTTACAGCTGGACTTGGCGTCACAACGCTGCCTTGTTACAGACTGTAGCATCAGCACTGCCACAAGCACTCTGGCACCGCTAACCTCGAACAGTGGAAAAAAAAGAGGATTGAATACCGCCTTGATTGATGTGATTTGGATGACTTAAAATCATAAAATTCTAATGTTTTTTTTTCACCCTTGAAGAGAAAAATCGAGTCACCGCGCAGGCGAAATTCAAATTTTCACCCTTGAGTCACACGCCTGCCAATCGAAATGAATGTCCATGTTGTACACATTTTTTGACGACTCCTGCAAATACCAGCATTTTCTCTCTTACCCTCAAAAATGACAATTTCAAATTCGTCACCCTTACAAGGGCGCCGAGTCAACCGGTTGCCTTGTTTTTTGATCATCAGAATCATTGTAAATCCTGGATGACCCGTAGCCGCCGTAGCCTCTGGTAAAAAAACACCATGTTCATACAGAGTGATAGTTGTGAATGGTTGATAATGGTTGATAACGGTCCATGTTTATCCGAAATGGACATGAATCATCATTAATCCCGATAATTTTGTCAAATTTTATCCACAATGGACATTAATCCCTATGTAAATTAATAATTATTAGTATAACATCAATAAGTTATAACTATTATCCCTATAATATGATTAACATTGATATATATATATATATACCCTCCTGTAAATTAACATAGACCCTGGCAGATAGGGATTGGAAGATTAGTTTCAACTAAACAATGGCTATTTTCAGGGTCTATGTTAATTTACCAGAGGGTGTCAATTTACCAGAGGTACCTATAATATGGTTAACCTTATATATGATTCCATATGATTCCCTACAATAATCATAACTTATTAATCCCTATGATGAATATATAACATTGAGCGAAATAATCCTTATGATTATACCTATATTAATCACCATTAATCATGTTTTATTTCGCTCAATCCTCCAACTCGAAAGCCATGGGTTCGCCGTTCACATTCGCCGTTCGCGTTCGCCAGGTCTCCATCAGCGAGGAGCAGTTCGAAGCTTTCATGGAGGCCGCAAGGGCCGGTTTGATGGGAATTTCAATGGGGGGGTTCGTGGCATTTCATTGGGATTTCATGGGGATTTCATGGGATTCTATGGGGTTTCATGCGGATTTTATGGGGATCTCATGGCTGTTTTTTATCGGATTTAATGGAGATTTAATGTGCTATGCAACCAACATATCTGATTTGGGTTTGTTGAAAAGCCGCGATGATACTGATGAGGGTTTCAGGGGATCACACATTCCCATTGACTTCGGGGATCATTATTTAATTCAAATACGCGGTAAGCATCTAGTATTTGGAGGATGTTCACTACTTTCTGATAAACTAATATGACTATGGAAAATCAGTATGTTTATATCATGGGTAAATCACGTACAAATTATGAATGGCAACGTTCAATAGCTATTATGTTTAAGTACCAGAGGGTATGGTTTTCAACGCTGTTCAATTTGGCTTTTGTTGACAACAATGAAACATGTACTGACATTCACGAAGGGTTGACTATTGTGATTGACCATGTTTGAGGTGTAGATTTTGACATGGTGATGAATGGAACACACATTAGTCATTTAGGTTTTTCATTTGGACATGTTTCTGAATGATACATGTATAAAACAAATAATGAACATGTGGTTGAGAATACCCCGGACAATGGAGATACGGTACAATCGGTACAATGGAGACACGATACACACAGCCTGACAGATGTATGGTGCGTTTCAAGGTGTTTCACAGCATCGTCCTCCCTAAAATCCACCATGGAAACTCAAAAGATTGGTTTAGAAGCTACTTCCAGTACCTCGTATTGTCTCGGATATACTCTCAAAAAGTGATCTTTTTATAGTGATCATCAACATGGTATAAGCTGATTTTGAGATCTTAGATATTCTTACTAGGTAGATGATCAATGATTGTAACCTGATCTACGATATGAGAAAATTTCGATGATACTTCGACTGATTTTGTCCAAAACGGAAAACGGAGTTGAACGGAGTGTTTTTTGAGATGATCCAGATCATCAAGAACGAGATTCTTAGCTGGTTATAACCTGATTTTAGTTGATTTTCAATTGATTAAACAATTATAGTCATTAGAGTCATTATAGTCATTACACTTATTAGAGTCATTATATATAATCATTATCAATAGATTATAGGTGTTGATTCTTATCAATTGATAAGCTATTATCATAACATGTTTAGCAATTGATGTTAGTATTGTCAGTGATAATATCAATGGATGAAGGGAAAATCTGAACCGGAAACCATCGATGTTCCTATGAAATATTAGGATGATTCCATGTGTGTGTTCCTGTATTTGTTACCATTAAGACCAATCCATCCATTGATCCATATTTCATAATTCATTCCACATTTCAAGATGGATTGTAACTTCGACCAATCCATTGAGAATAGATACATAGATAATCATAGATACTTAGATAGTCATTTTCAATAGATAGTCATTATCAATAGATACTATTAGTATCATTGTCCTAAACATTCCAATCCATGTTCCAGGCAATTCCCATCACAGGAAATTTAACATGTGTCCACCATCATCCATTGGTCCATTGGTCCAGTGTCATTCAGGATCTACCCTCTGGTTATGTCAACAGTTTGCTATTGAAAATGACCATAGAAATAGTGGATTTTCCCAGCTATAACATGGTGGATTTTCTATAGTTTTTTTGTATGTTTACCAGAGGGTATGTCATCGTGAGAAAATCGGCGTTCCTCACATCTTCCCATTGATCCAGGTGGGTCTCTCCAGTGGTGCTGTCCACCGGGCGCTGGCTGAGCAGCTGCTCAGCGTGGATGACTTTCTGAGTTTCAAAGCCATGCGCCGTGACGGCACGGGACGGCACGGTAACCGGGGTTCAGAACCAGCTGCCGGGGGCTGGGAAAAGCATAAACATATAGGGAAAATGTGGATGAAGCAACGAAATAGGATGTTTCATGATTTTTCCGTTGATGAAGGATTGGAGGAGACAGAATTTAAAGGAAAATCTGAGGTTCATTCTGTTTTTATATGCATGACTTATATGTGTTAGAAAATTGACTATGTTTCAAACTGTTAAAACAATTGGTTTTTGCAACACGGGCATTTTTTGGATGAGTTGACCATGAAAAATCTCAAAACATGTTAAGAACATTTGGTTTGAAACGATGCTCAAAATCGGACTTTGAGCCTTCAGAAATGTGAAAAACGTTGGGGGGACTTGGACAATTTCCTACCAAAATCTGGCAAAACCCCTAAATCATCCCGAATGAAATCGTCCATTCTGACCGAAGAGTACTAGGGTGATATGACCTATGACCTATGACACATCCGGTTGTAGGGGAACTGACCAAAAACATATGATGTTGATAAAGTGGAAACAAAAAAAAGGATTGAGCGGTTGGAACATTGACCTGGTTCATTCGTTGCCACCGTGCCAGTGAGGCCCTTGATCACCTTTGTTGATAGGTTCATGATGCCTGGATGAATGGTTGACACATTGTTGCAGTGAAAAACATTCAGCACAGCATATCACATTAGGTTTGGTTCAGCATCATCATATTAGGTTTAATATCTGGTTACCCTCTGGTAAACATACAAAAAACTATGGAAAATCACCATGTTTAATGGGTAAATCAACTATAAATGACCATTTTCAATAGCTATGTTAAATTACCAGAGGGTATATAAAGTTGATTCATCAATTTTCTCATTGGTTTAGGGGATCACATCATCAACTTCATGGCTCTGGACTTGTCCGTGTGAGTTCTGTGAGCTGTGGCCTGCTTTTGATGTACCATAGGAATTATAAGTATCATAAGACACATGCGATGTAACTGTGGACACTCCATGTATGATATATAGACGTATATATAACAGGGGAATTTCATATGGTACTTGCCTTCTTGCCCACAAGCATGATTCCTGGGTCATGCCGACCCAGGATGTGCAAACACAACGCAGATCTCTGTCGCGAGGTGGCGTTGGGTGTATCCAGGAGAATCCCATATATGCCATATGGGTGTGTCTGCGAATTGTTCGCATTCCTGTAGAATGGCAATTTGATTTGGGAAAATCATGGAAAATCATGGAAAATCATGGAAAATCATGGAAAATCATGATTCTTCAGACAAAGCCCAGGGCCCCAGTGTCTGCAGTGTCTGCAGTTGCAAGGTTTCTTGAACTTTTGGGCCACAAAAACCGGCTCTGCGAACACTGGTTTCACCCCATTTCTCTCAGATTCTCCGCGAATTGGTCGAATGAACAAGTTGTAAAGTGGAAACCACTAGAATTGGGAGGTCCAAAAATATCAAGAAATATCCAAAAACCATGGTAAAACCATGTAAAACCCATGGGTTCCTGCAGGTTTCTCCCTAAAAACCCCTGGATTTCTGGCAGGTGGTCACCGTCGAGGAAGCTGTTGATCCCACCAGCCCGGCTCTATCTGGCCTGGTCTCCGATGTGGTGTCACTGGCTGTTGGACAGAAATTTCTTGGAAAATGTTGGGAGAATTCTTGGAAGCAATGATAAAAACTATGATGAAACTTAGATGGGAAGCTTAGATGATTAAACTTAGATCAACAAATGGATCATGAATTCTTGGAAACAATGGAACGACCTTAGATGGGAAAAGGACCTGTGTCAATGGGAAACAAAAGGAACTTAGATAGGAAAAAAGCCTGTGTCAATGGGAAACAAAAGGAACTTACTGTATATAGATGGGAAAAAGACGTATGTCATCCTATATCAATGGAAAACAAAAGGAACTTAGATGGCAAAAAGAACCTGTCAATGGTAAATAACTTTGATGGGACCAGTGTCAATGGGAAACAAATGAACTCAGACGGAAAAATCCAGTGTCAATGGCTTTCAGTGGATTGGTGAGAGCTGTTTTTCACACAGAACCTTGCCTAAGCCTGAAAGACGGGGAGTTCCTGATAATTTCTCCATCAATTCTGAAAATAGTGGGTTGGCAAGGGTTGGAAACTTGATTGTTTCTATGAACAAAAAAGGTGGTGGGCTGAGTCTAAGGTGGACGAATTTGGGGGATGATTCGGGATAGACATCACCGGGATTTTCGACCGCGGATGGAACCAGTTGTTGGAAGTCTGCGGGTGTTGGAGCTGGATTTCTAGATGGATAGGGATCGAAATTGACTAGGGCTATGTTCCGTATTCACCATCCAATTGTTCGAAGAAAGTGATGGACCATCCAATTTACTAGGTCAATCCTAGATGGGTACTTTAATCCTTTAGTCTTTTGATATCAATGGGATTATCTACTAACCAGCTATGAGTTTAATTTTTTGTAGGGTATCTAAGATTGGCACTGTTTAAGATGGACCGACTGTGGCTGTGTGTTGACGGGTTGATTTCCCAATTTTGGTGTCCATGTTGGGAGGTTCCTGTTCTTTGTTACTTGGGGTCATGTCTTCTTACGGGAGGTGGCTTTCTGTGTTGTTTTTTGGCTTCGAATCAGTCTGATTTTGTCGTGCCGCACGATTGTTGTGTATTTGAAATCCTCTCTGGTATCGCTAAAGAGTGGAATTGTTCATCCACAATTCCGTCTGTATGCATGTCTTGTTCTTGTTGTCTTGGTTGTGGTGCCTTTACTTATTCAAATGTGCCCACTTTTGGGTTGAATCCAATCTGATAAACCACTATTCCCACGGTCTCAAAGCTCATATATTTTCCAGAGTTAGAGCCGTTCTTGCAGCGGCAATTTTCAAGAATTCCGGAGCAACAACCGCCATCTTCTTGGCGTTTAAAATCGAATATCCCTATTCAAATATCATCAAATATCCACTTATTACATGTTACATCCTGTAGCATCAAATGATGGAAGTTCATCAGATTCCTGGGATCCATTTGATCTTTTCCCTCACTGTTCTCCCTAGGAATGATGGTTTCGGGGGATTCTGAGCTCAGCATTCCAGCTTGGTAAACTAACATGGCTATGGAAAATCAATGAACATCACCATGTCTCATAGGTATATTAGCAATTATTAGCATATATATATATAATTATATATATTAACTATAAATTGGCCATTTTCAATAGCAAACGAAGAAAATGACCAGAGGCTACCGAAGATTTTTCGATGCGCAACGGACGAAGGCGAAGCTCCTTGGAGTCGGGCTTGGACGAGTGGCAGCTCTACGATGTGCAACGCTGGGAGGGACCGGAGCCCGGGGCCGGGCAGTGGAGCGTTAGGATGTTGGCACTCGAAACAGATCTCTTGATGGGGAAGATGTGAGTTTCTCAACCTTGGCAGTTTGATGGGTTTTAGTCGATTTTATACTGTCGTGCAATGTCGTGTACTCCAATTTTGAGGGTATGTCATGGTATGGCCCTCATTATTGGACCCATGTGATGCCATTTTGATGGGAAACGTGAGGTTTCAAAGCGGTTTTGTTTCAGGTGGAGAAGGATTGTCGTTTGTAAGAAAAGGATTACAACAGATAAATGGGTCAATGTCAGTTCCAAATCTGAAAGGATTTTTGGAGTTGTCATTGAACTGTTGAACCCTTAAGATTTCACTTTCTTCAGACCTGGTCTACCAGGATCTGGCCGAAAGAGCTCTGAGGAAGCGGAGGAAGCGCGGCGGAAACGGGAAGAGGCGGAGTTACAACAGGTGGGGACAGCGACCATCAGGATCCATCAGCGCAGGATGCCAATGTCGTGGGGGTCAACGAAACTATTCGCTTCTGGCGTGCAGGATATTGCAGGATCCAAGATTTTTGGAGGATATTGGAGATCTCGGCTCCTGATTTCAAATCAACCATCTCAGGCATAGGCATGATGACTCTCCAATTCTACAACCTTTTCAATCAGAAGGAGTTTCTTTATTTGTGTCCAACAATGATCGGAGGAACCACGATTCTTCCAAGATATGTACTAAAATAATTACCGACCATCTATGATCCATTCCCCCTAATATTAAGCACCGCCAGGAAACCATGGTTTGTTTTGTTGCGGCTGTACACATATTTAGGACCATGGATGGAGGTGTCCATTATGAATGAGGGATGGGATTGATGTTCCCATTTGCAAAAAAGGTGGCATTGATGCTATGTCCATCTATGTCCCAATATTCCTTAAGTAAATTTACCACTCATCTGGAAGGGGACCCCCTTAAAGTCATGGGGGTTCTGTATAGTCATTCGCTGGTTTTTGGTGAAAATCACCCATCGGCCTTCAGGCGATCGCCTTGTCTCTGAGCATCGAAGAGGAGAGGTTGCGGCAACTGGCACAAGAGGAGCCGTGGAGTGTTTCTGTGGGGCAAAATGACATGGTTTTCACCGGCAAAACAATGGAAAAAGCTGGGGCTCAAGTCAATAAAGTCGTTGAATTAGTTACATCATTTCGGTGAGTTTATGTGATGAAGTGAAGTAAGCATGAAAGTGTGGGGGTGTCATCGAAATATCGGCTATGGTTGGCCCAACATGAGGGTTGAACCATAGATTGACGGTGTAAATATGAGAGGTTCATTCCCAGAGATTGAACATAGAATCCCAAAGGTTGTTCTATAGTGCTTCTTGCTAATTTGTTTGGGTGCTACTTCTGGCTCTCACAAGGAGGCCCCGGCAGCTCTACCCGAAAGCGCCGGCTTCATCTCAGCTCCCATCTGCCATTTGCTGCCAAAGCCCTTTCCCGAAGCTCGGAGTTACAGTACGCTGTTTTTCGCTTTCTGGATGATAATCCCAGAGACTACCAACCGGTCAACCGGTTGCTAAAAGTAATCTGGGTACAAGCGGGTTGTAGTACCAGTTTATCAACTGTATAAGATCATGAAAATAGGTAAGGGTTCATCCCATTTGAGTAAGCAAAAGAATGGCGGGGAAGCATTTGGTAGCTCCAGATTGTAGTTGGACCTCGAATTTTACATCATTCGGTTTGCAAGCTACCCCTCCCTTGCAACCCGTTTCTGCAGTGTCAGAAGCCGCATCCAAGGAGTCAGCTCCTGCCACAACCTTGGCTCCACCACGCTTGGTGCAGGTGGAACCCATGAAAATCGCCAAGAAACCCTGGGGTTTCACTTCTGCCCCATTGATGTTGCGACCTCACCATGCCCCACCAGCACCACCTCCACCACCGCCGGAGCCGGAGCCAGCGGCGCAAGCGGCGCCGGTGCCACGCTTGCCGGGGCGCGCGGGGTTCCTGTCGTCGCCGCTGTGCATCGTGCCACCAAAGCCACGGGTCTTGGTGCAACCGAGTGAGTCGGCACCACCGCCTCCACCGGAAGATAGTGACGGGGACTGCGATTCGCCCAAATCTCCGGGATCACCTTTGTCGCCAGGCGCCATGGGGTTTCACAAAACCCCAAATTTCTGCCGGAGCTGATGATCCCTACCCGATAACTTTCTGGATCTTCCTGCCATCGTCTTTAGAACCACTATTTGGGGCAGTCTCGAAAGATGAACCCCACAAGATTCCATGGGCAAGATCACTATTTTACCGATTGACATCGATTAAAATAATCTTCAGTGGCAAAATATCGGAGATTTCTCATGTGTTTTTCAAGAAATCCCATGTTTTCCATCTTTTTCCTGGTAAAATGTAAAATCCCGATTTCTCAAATATTCCACTATATGTCTCCAAAATTTGGGTCATGGAAAGTCATGGATCTATGTTAAAGGACAGACCGTGCCAGGCACCCTGGCTCCGTTGAACCACTACCGCAGCAACCTGCGTCTCTGGAAGCATCGCGCCTCGTTAGCCGTGGAGCCGGTCCCCGAAGCCGTGAAGGAAGCGAGGCGTTCGCGGATCATGTCGGATGAGAGGCCAGGGACTCACTGGGACCAGGGATTTTCATTGGGATTATCATGGATAAATTATAACGACCTCACTGTTCTCCCGAACCCTGGAATCATGGTTAGTATTGGAAATCATCCCCAAATGGCCTTATTTCAGATTAGTGAAATATTATAATTTACCCAGAAGGTTGTTCTTTACAGTATGGTAATACCATGATAACATGAATCATATGAATCATATGAATCATGTAAAACATTGTAAAACCATCATACCATCCATTTTGACCCATTGTTTGGGGTTGATTGACCCATTTTTGCCGTCAATGCCTCAAGAGTTGTCATGGCCATGGGATGGATCGGATGGACAATGAACATCCGGAAGAAGAAACATTGGTTTGGAAAGTCATCTAATTAAAAAAAAAATCTAATGAATCCAATAGGTTACAAAAATAAGATTTCGAATATCATTAGCTATCAAACATTGATATGATATTGACTTAGCTAGTCAACATGATCTAATGAGCAAACATCGGCCATTGGATTTGCAACACTGAGATGAGAGGCTTGGCACACTCACCTGCAATTGGTGGGTCGACCAAAACAGCCACGTTGAGCAACCAGAGAAAAGTTCAGGTGAAGCAACAAGAATGACAGATTTGCCCAAAAGACAGTCCAATAAAGTGTTGATGTGAATCAGCAAAACCGGGATACAAATTACCCTCTGGTAAACATACAAAAAGCTATGGAAAGATCCACCATTTTCTAGCTGGGTAAATTCACTATTTCTATGGCCATTTTCAATATCGAACTGTTAGTTTACCAGAGGGTAACTAGTAACCATTAACCATAGATTAACCATATATTAACCATTAACCATATCGAACTGTGAAAGTTTACCAGGCCGGGTAGCGTTTTGTCAAAGGGACTTTATCAACATGGAATGAAACTCTAAAAATCCAATCCGACAGAGTTTCTTGATTGTCGCCGCTGTCCCGCACGACGTGCGGGGTGGTAAGATGTTGTTATCCTTCCGCTGGGACAGTTGTGGTATGTTGTGGTTGATCAAAGATGGCTTTGCTGTGACTGTTTGGGGAGTATTTGGGACATTTTGGGACTTCCAATGGCTTTTGTGTTGAATATTTTGGAAAGGGTTGAGACTCAAGACCAGCAACAACTGTTGCGTTCCAACACTTTCAGACTTGTTTGATTTAACGGAAACATTCCACATGTTTCTTCATGCTTCCACGTTTTCATGTCTCTTGTGTGGATGGCCAAACCAATGATTTCCCCCATAGTTGCCATAGTTTTGAACCTTTTGAAGAAGCCAAGAGTCATAGTCATCACTTCTGGTGATACCCTCTGGTAAACTAACATAACGATGGAAAATCACCATTTTCAATGGGAAAATCCACTATAAATGGTCATTTTAAATAGCTATGTTAAATTACCAGAGGGTAATCCCATAGGCCCGCAGCATGTCAAGCCGGCAGGCTGAGAGCGGACTCCGCCACTTCGGACATCTCTCCAGAGGATCGCTTGAGGCGTCAAGAGCACTTGCGGCGACAGCGAGATTTGTTGCTGGGAAAGCGCATGAAGGACGGCCTGGGTTTGGCCAGGGCTGGTTGAAAAAAACTCCCTGAAGTTTTGATGGTTTTAGAATGGGATTCTAATGGGTTTCATCATGTTTCTTTACTGGTTTTTAGTGGGATTAGAATGGGTCCATGGCATGATCGACTCTGGCAAACTTAGCTGTTCCATTCATCAACTATAAATCCTGGTGAAATCGCCCATGTTCCCCATTTTCGCTGATTAACTGGACATGTTCCCCAATGATGGAAACTGTGTCGGTGAAATCACGGTGAAATCCACAGTTTCCATCATTTTCCCATCATCTTCCCATCATTTTTCATCATTTTCCCCATGGTTTGCTTGTGAAGTCTCCATGTTTTTCAGGTGAACGTTCTCGAAAAACCCCAGGAGCGAGAGGAGCAGCTCCAGGACTTCGCACGCCGCGGCGGATCGCGGGAGGACGCGGGGTTTGATGCCTGGGGTTTGATCCTGAACATGAAACCTTCAAAAACCACCATTTTGAAGAGGTACCCTCTGGTAATTTAACATAGCTATGGAAAATCGCCATTTTTAATGGGAAAACTCACTATAAATGGCCATTTTCAATAGCTATGTTAGTTTACCAGAGGGTAAATCAAAACATAAATCAACTGTAAATGGTAAATCTTAGGGTAAGTCAAGCATTGTTAATAGGTAAAGTCACCATAGGTAAATCATGGTAAATCAACTATAAATCATAACAAAATCCCTTCATGAAACCATGAAAATGGATGACATGGATGTGGATCCCCAAGTCATAGATAGTCGACAGTCACCATCGGAAAATAAACCTTCAAAAAAAACACACAATTTTTGAAGAGGTAAATCAACCCATGTTCCATGGGGAAATCTGAAACCATGAAAAAATGGATGGAAAATGGATGTGGATCCCCATCACCATAGGTTTCAATATGTGTCAATACTAAAATGGTCATCGACGACTGGATGATGACTGTCTAGTTTCATGGATTGGAAACCTCCAAATGTCACAGATTTCGAGAGTAAATCCCATGAATGTTGGGTTTCATCCGAAAGACACGTAAATCTCCTCAAAAGCTGGGTTAATGTTACATAGCTATGGAAAATGACCATTTATAGATCATTTATAGATCATTTGCCTATTGAACATGTGGATTTTCGATAGCAAAGTCTTAAATTACCAGAGGGTAATATAAACGGGGGATGGGATAGAGTCGGAAAGGTTGTCTCCAGTTTGTTAATTGTTTTCGAAGCCAAGATAATGGAGGAACATGAGCAAAGATAATGGAATGACCATGGGGTAAGGAAACAGGGGAGAGTTGTGGTATAAACAATGGTGAATCCATGACTAGTGCCAATATCGTTTTTTGTTGCAAATTATTAAGAAGCTATTCCAAACCGACTGCTTTCTTGACACCTAAAATGGTTTCTGGACTATTGTGTCGAGATGTGTCGAGCTTGATTGTGCAGTGTTGTTCTTAATTACCATTCATCTAATTCTCTAATATTAATATATATATAGTGGTTTGTCCTGAATGTGTATACATTCATTGCATTACATCACATCATATCACATTAAATCACATTAATTCACATTAAATCACATTAAATCACATTAAATCACATTAATTCACATTAAATCACATTAAATCACATTAAATCACATCATTAAATCACATTAAATCACATTCACTACATCACATCACATCACATCAATACCATCAGTTATATGATAATCTTGTATAATCATACCATTAAATATATATTATATATATACAATATCACCATTAAGTATACCATTATATCACCATATTCACCATTATATACACCATTAATTGACAAGTATATATCTACCATCATCATAGTTTATTATCACATTATTTACCATTAATTATATTATAACATCATGAGATAAATACCATTATCATACCATTATGCCATTTATATATAAATGCCACTTATACAGATATAGGTATAGATATATGTATGTTCCATTTGTTGACCATTACATATATATATTATAATATAACCATTGTATATATCATCCATTATCATCAGATTATCACCATATTATCACCATATTTACCATTCATTATATGGTAAATTAGTATTAGCCATTATATATATATATACACACCATTTACAAGTTTAATACTATTTTACCATTAATAGATAATGTAGACAATTAACCATTATCCCCTTATTCTTTAACCATTAGATTGTATATACCATTAGTTGACCATTATGTATATATATACACCATTCATATACCATCATTGACCATTATATTAACCATTAATAGATAATAATTAATGGGTATCTACCATTATATATATATATACATATACACCATTATAATACCATTAGATAATACCATTAACCAGTATTGACCATTATATCTGGGCAAATTATAACCACGTCACTGCGACCTCACTGGGAATGATGGTTAGTAGGGGTGACTATCCCCAAATGACCTTATTTCAGGTTAGTGAATTATTATATTTTACCCAGGTTATATGGTAATTAGAATAGTATACTGTATATATGTATATATATATATTATGTAATTCTCATAAATAGTTCTACCATATACCATTATATACCGTATACCATTCATATATACCATATAATACCATTATACCATATACCAAATAATTGACCGTTACATATACCATTAATTGACAAGTATATATCTACCATCATCATAGTCTATAACACCATTGACAAGTAAATGAACCATTCTTGACCAGTATATCTGGGTAAATTATATACCATATACCATATGGTAATTAGTATTGTTCATTATGTATCTACCAGTATATCTACCATTCATAATTCCATCAGATAATACCATTAATTAACCATTATATATACCAAATAACTGACCATTGTAAATATAGATAATTGACCAGTCCCATTAATTAATTAGATAACTACCATTAAATACCATGAGATAAATAGCATTATATATACCATATACCGTTCATATACCATTCATATCAGCCATTATATCTATATATATATATACACCATATAAAATTTTAACCATTAGAAATATCTACCATCATCATAGTATATATATATATATTCTCATAAATAATGATATACACCATTATAATATATATATATATACACCATGATCATAGTATATATACACCATCATCATTATATATTAATTCTCATAAACAATTCTACCATGTTCATAGAATTGGATGATGGGAAAATTTGCAGGAAAACCCTATATTTGATGGTAAAAACCCATGGGTTTCCGGTTAAGATTTTCCCTTAAACTAATCCATTGATATGGGTATGGGTCAAAATTAGGTACCCCAATAATTATGGATGGTTAATACTAAACCAGACATTCACATCTGTGGTCCCATTAATGGTCTTCCATTTTGACCCACATCCATATGTACCATTCAAATATATTCTCATAAATAATGATCATCAAATATATTTCCATGATCTTTAATTATTTAAACCCTATATTTGATGGTAAAAACCCTATATTTGATGGTAAAAACCCTATATTTGATGGTAAAAACCCTATATTTGATGGTAAAAACCCTTAAACCAATCCATTGATATGTACCATTCAAAGATCATAAAATCATCCAGGACCAGGCCGCCGCGGCTCGCCGCTTGGTGGCCGAGCTCAGTGGCGCCCCGCCGGCCACGGCGTCGCAGCTCACGCCTGAGGCGAAACCACGGGGAAAACATGGGGAAAACACGGAGAAATCATGGGAAAATGGTGGAAAAACATGGGAAAATGGTGGGAAAATCGTGGATTTCGATGGATAACTAGAGGAATTGTCGGAGATTTCACCCACTCAAAACTCGAGATCGGAGGAATTTTTGGGGCCCGAAGATCACAGATATGTCACATTAATGACATGCAATCGTCGTGTGAAGGAACTTCATGTTCTTTGGAACACCATGGATTTTCCATACCTACCCTCTGGTAAACTAGCAATATAGCTATGGAAAATCACAATGTTTAATAGTTATATCATGTTATATCAACTACGAATGGCCATGTTCAATAGCTATGTCACACATTTACCAGAGGCTATATTCCAGACATTTCCCAACGATTCTTCCATTCAATCGCCATGAAATCACCATGCTATTCCCAGCTCCAGGTTTCCCTCCCTGTCGCCAGAGGTTGCCACTCAGATGCGACAAGCCCTCACCCGGCAGTTGCTACAGAGTTTGGCATCGCCCCTTGGGCCGCGTTCCACTGTGTTCCTGGTTGGCCTCTGGGAAACACCCAGTTGCTACGGAAAATCACCCAGTTGTAACAGGTTTTCCATCATCGAACTCAATGGTCCGTTTTCCATCGCTATATTACTCTAATGGGGTCTTTAATGGTCATTAGCTCTAATATGATCTCACGTATCATAGGATTTTTGAAATTGATTCACATACCACATACCATCATATACCCCAACATCTTGGATTGTTGGGTGTTTTAACACATCATCAATGGGTTTTCTTTCAATTTACTAGGAAAGGTATGGAAAGGTATGACGTTGTTCCATATGGTTCGTTCTGAAAAAACGGGGATACCCCCAGTGTTCATCGTCATGGATGGCCATTGAAACATATTGAACAACCATAGTGACCACTGGGGATCCACATCCATTTTCAGGTTTCATGAAGGGATTTCCCAATGATTTATAGTTGATTTACCATGATTTACCTATATGGTGACTTTACCTATTAAAAATGCTTGATCTACCCTAAGATTTACCATTTACAGTTGATTTATGTTGATTTACCTCTGAAAAATGGGTGGTTTTCCCCATGGAAAATGGATTTCTATGGGTGGTTCATGACTCAAAAAATGGGTTGGTTTTTCTATGGTGATCCGCAGTGAGGTCCATGCACAGTGATGCCGCCACCCTGGAGGATCAGCTGAATCAGTTGGAACACATGCGATGGACATAGCGACACACCAGACATGCGCGCCACGACATCCGACGACATCCGACCCGCTCTTTTTTTGGGGGGGGTCCATCTTGGTTACGGATTGAAACTGCTGGGATTCAGATGGATTTAGATGGATTTTTATGGCCAAAACTGGTGGATTTTTTTGGGAGATTTCTCATCAATTCATGGCTGAAACTGGTGGTTTTTTGGAGATTTAGCCCAAGCTTATGGCCAGAAGCGGTGGATTTTGGTGGAAAGTCCCAGTCTATGGCCATTTAAAAAGGGGAAGCCTGGTACGCCGTGGATAGTTTGTTGCAGCCATGGTCAAAGCCCACGGCTCTTAATAGTTTGCCAAGAGCGAACGAGAAACAAAGACTTGGCGCGTTGGAACCACGGGTTGTTGGATGTGTTTGTTGATTTTCGAGTCTCTCTGGTTGCTTTGAGGTTTGCGTAGAAACTGTGAGACCTACCATTGCTTTGTACTGAATTGTAGCTTTTGTATGCTTTTGTTTGCTTTTGTTTGCTTTTGTGGTTTGTTTTTCCTCTCGGTGTGTCCAAAATTCCTGAGCTTGAAGATAGCTCTCAGAATTTCATAGAATTGTTGATCATGTTGGGAAGATTGACTGTTTTTTGTCTTTTACAATGCTAAGATAATCCCATAACTTATTTATAATATATTTTCGGATGTTTTTGGAACAAGTGATTGGGGTGCCACTGACACATCCAAATCTTCCTACCATGGCCTTCCAACAACCCCTGACCTCTGCGCGGCTCATACCTGGCCGTGAAAGGATGACAGTCAAGAGCCAGGTGTTCCAATGAGTTTCCCACTTGGATCCGTGTCTTATAATCTATCTATAACCCCTAAAATCATATAACCCTATATACATATCATATCATAATATATATATATACATTATATTATATATATTACTATATATATATATTATTATATAATTATATTATATATATATATTATATTATATTGTAGTATATTTTATTATATATACATATCATAATATGGAGATATTCCATATGTATAACTGGGGATTGTTCGCCCATTTACCAAGTGGGGCCCGCACCCCCAAAACGCACGCTAAAAGATCCAGTTGATTCTGTTGATATCTGTTAATTCTTTGGATGTTGGTTTGATTGAAAATAGGGTATCCCCAAAATTTGATGCTTCATCATCCATGTTCTCGTTAGAAACTTGGGTTTTTTTTGTGGATGGTTTAGATATCCCGGAATGATTAATGGCCATTGGGGGTATACCACACTTTCAGACACACCCACAGGGTACGATGGTTTTTCGAAGGCTTTCGAAGGCTGACCATGGCCGACTTTTGATTGTCGTTGAAGCTCTACCAGGGTATACAAGGAACGTGATAATTGCTCTAGGGGACATTTCAGGTATTGGGATATGTTCAAACCAATATATCACATGTATGTCAGAGTGGCTTTGGCCTTTGAGATTAAAAGATGAATGTATGAGGTATGGGTCGATGTTGAAACATTGAATATAGTTACTAATATCAACAAGCGCATGGGATATTAAAAAAAAAACTAAACGTGCGTTCTCTCTCAGAACTGGCTCTTATGTTTTGGGTTCAAATCCAAACACAGGTGCAACATCCATTTCGCAGAGCCTTGTGTGGGCCCATTGGTTTCGGTCGCTGGGAATTCAGCAGAAAAGGTCGAAGTCCGCATCAAGTCCAGATGATGAATGCTCCACTGCCCCAAGGGAAGATATCATTCCGACAATCTCTGCATCTTGTCGGAATGCCATTGCATGCATACATAGTGTATATAATGTTCATGAATGTTCTATATATACTGTAAGATATACAACTATATACACATATGTGATTTTGCAGGATGCAGTATTCTCTACTTACATGTATATACATGTATAGGGGGTTCTTAAAATAGGAGATCCCCCAAGTCACCATGGGTTTTTAATACCAAAATGGTCATCCATGACTTGGATGATTTGGGAGTACCATCATTTTAGAAATTTTAGGACACCATATATAAATGATTATATATATATATATGTGAGACTGTCCTTATATAATATAATATAATATATATAATACAAGACAATACAATACAATATAATATTGTGTAATATATATATATATGATATAATGTAATATGATGTAAGATAATATAGAAAAATAGATATACGTATATGTAATACAATATAACATATATATATATATATGTGTAACACATATGTTCATCTCAATGGCTATGTGGATGGCTACGCCTTGGATGGGCTCAGGTCTCCGAAAAAAAGTGATTCGACACAGTTGAACGAGGCGTCTCGGAAAACGGCGATGGGGGACGTTGAAATGTTGAGATTTCCCGGGAAAAATGGGACATGTAGGGAAAATATATGGATTAAACATGGAATATCCCAGGAAAGATGCAAAACTGGAAGGTTAAACATCAAGAAATTGGGATTTCATATCATTTCATGGGAAGAATCTTGGAAAAAAAGGGCTTCGTTTATACTGGGAATTCATGGGACATTTTGCTGGAGATTTACCCGACTACGTTAGGAATATCATGGAGATATCGGGATATCATGCAATATATATATATATAGATGTCACGACCAACATGGTAACCTCCGGTAATTTAACACTTCGCAAACTGGAAAATCACCATGTCAGCGGTTTCTATGATCGAACGAAATGGAGTCTAAATGGACCATTTTGAAAAAAGCCATGTAACAAGTTACAAGATTTACAAGAGGCTATTGTTCATTTTCAACCACACTTGGGATGATTGGTTGAGATGACAAACATACTGTACTTTTTGGCTGGCTTAAAAACCATCAAAAAAAGGATTTCCTATGAACATGTTGAGCAAAAACAAGAAAAAAACACCATGAGAAAAACCGCCTCGATCTTTGTGAAATCACCACGTTGCCAGGATCTGGTGCCGTGCCTGGTGCCTCCGAGTCCCGGCGAGGTGTCCATCGGTGCCATGTCTTTTTGTCATTCGAGCGCCTTGCGTGAGAGCCACATGTCCAAGGCCTTGTTTTTTGGAGGCGATCTGAAGAACATGAAGGACATGGAGGACATGGAACTCTGAGTTTGATCACCGCGGCAATTTCCATGTCAAAATGGACAGGTCAAGTTTTGTTGACATTCTGTGCAATTTCTTTGTTGGAAACACGAGCTAAAAACTGGTTAGCCAACGATTAATTGACTTAAACTGAGTTGTGTCGAAATGGTCTTGTGCAAGCTGGTACATGCTGGTTTTATATTTATTCTTGATATTTCTTGATTATTTTTCTCACCAACAAAAAAGCCCGTATGACATCGCCTTTTGCCGAGCACGCCATGAAGCCTGGCATGCCTTTGAGACGAGATTCCCGAGATTCATTCGTAGATGATTCACGCCATTTTCAGCAGGGACCTTCGTGTGCAGACAGTCTGGCGGCAGCCATCATTCTGCAGCAATTGAGTTTACGCTTACCTTAGGCCCTGGTTACAGCATTTACGATGACTTTGAGCCAATGAATTAGAGGATTTGGGTCCTTGATCGACCCATGATGGAACCATTCAATTGGAACTGTCTCTTCAAGACTCGTGGAGGTCTTGAGGTCATTGATGCATTCCTCACTGCTCCCATGACATCAGTCTTGAGCCGAGCGCATGCGCTGCCACGAGATGTGTCAAAAGTGTCAACTCAGCTGGCATTCTGAACATTGTGAAAGACAACGAAGCCAGCTGCAAACCCATTCCAGCTCAATATGAAAGCAGATTTGTGTCTTGCCTGCAAATGGGGACACAAAGACATATCACAGAGCGGACTTAAAGGGTATGGATTAGATGACTGATGCAAAGCGAGCAAGGGGCACAGTGTGCCCTTATCTCTGCAAAGCATGTTGCTATCATACAATTGTCGTTGAGTTGTTTTGTTAGATTTTGGCGAGGTTCCACTGTTAGAAAGCCACACAGGAAAGTAAGACGAGAACAAGAACAGGGTATTTGATGTGTACCCTCTCGTAATTTGTTACATAGCTGTTGAAAATGGCCATTTATAGCTGATTTTCCTGTCAAAATGGTGATTTTTCCATCGTTTTTTGTATGTTTACCAAAAGGTAACACCTGCAGCAGGGGACTTGGCTGCCACAATTGAGGTAAGTACTTGCCTGTCAAGGTGCCGGGCGGGCATGCAGCAAGCGTCATTCAGAATTGTTCTAAGTCCTTCAAATTCGATTTTTGCGTTGTTGTTGTTGTTGTTGTTGTTGTTGCCATGTTTTCAGTGTTTTCATGGGCTTGTCTGAAAAAACTCCGTACCGCCTTTTATCCATTTTTCTGAACCATCATCCCTATTAGAACTCCCTGGAGGGATATACCATGATATGCCCTATGTTCAGACGCACCCTGTCTGTGAGGCCGTTGGTTGGCCGAGCTCTCGATCGAGTCGGATCTGCGACCTGTTTGGGCTGTTTGGGCGAAGGCGACCATGAGGATCAGGACAGGAATGGCCATCGATTTTGAATGATATCTCTCTGACAGCACGACCCATGATGTTTTTACAGAGGACTCTCCAGTAGACACAAAAGTTCCGACATCCAAAAGCATGAAAAGCAGCCAAGCTATGTGTACACATACAATCCGTGCAGCTTTTCGAAAGCGTCATTTGTCCTGCGGTGGATTATGCATGAATCTTTCAGCAAAACCTTGACTACGATTCACACTTAAAGATTGACATTTCTCGGTGCAGTGTCTTAAGTGTTTACAAACATGAGCACTTTGAGTTCCAAAAGTCGGCGCTGGGGATGTTCCAAGTGTTCCAAATGCTACTTTGATTTGTTGATTTATTCAGCACAGTGGGGCTGTGTCCAGCATAGTTCCACAGCCTTATCAGTGACAAAGTCTGTGACATATAAGATGACCAGTGACGATTAGGTGATGATTAAGTGGCTTTTTTCAGCGTCGCGTGAGACGGCTCCATGTGCGTCTTGGGGTTGCCGCTAGTGACGCTGTTGTGACCAC